TTAATCACTCTTAAAATAAGTTTATCTTTCATTTTTTCTAATTTCTCTACTTACTGCCTGTAAAAGATACTAACTTCACTTTTGGAGAAACTATTCCAGTGGGTGAACTGGTGGCAGGCAGAACGTGGGTAAGCAATAGCGCTTACTGACCTCTGTCAAGTTCTGGGTGCGCCTCAACCCTGAGACACCTGAAAGAGGAAGGCAAATGGAGCTGGTGGGTTTCTCCATGTATTCAGACCTCTTCTTTGCTGATAGTGCAGAGTATTGACTAGCATCCACACCTCTGAGGATTTGTTTTTTGTATTCCATATATTCCTTTTTGTTTTTCTATTTCATATTTGTTTTAGTAAAATTTACTGTGACTGATGGAGACACCTCCAAAATTTTTCAGATGGCAATTTTTTCTGGTTCTGGGCTGTGTTTTTTGTTTGTGCTTTTTGGTTTGCGTTTTTTTTGTTAAAACTCACAGTATTTATGTTCTCAATAATATAAAAGCAAATGGAGGTCTAAGTGAGAACACTTACTCTCTACGGTGACAAACTAGACTGCTCTTTCTTGTTCATCTATTCTGATTTATTGCATCAGTTGTTCAGGTATCATTTGGTTTCTTAGTATGGTTATTGGGGTTGCGAGTTATGTCCTTTTTAGAGCTGTTACTTATTAAAGAGAGCAAATTGTATCTTTCAAGAAGTCTGTATAAACAGATTTTTAGGGCAATTGATGTTCAGCTGACTTTTTTGTAGATTTGGAGTCCATGGCATTTTCTGAAGGAATCTTTATAATAATTCTGAATTACTTAAAATTTTAGGTTCTTCTCTCTGAATCTGGAGACACGACAGAGCTCACTTCTTTCATTATGTAAGTCTTTAACTGTGAGAAATGCTGAAGCAATATCAAGGGTTGTGTGAAGTGCATAGATAAGCCCTTCTAGCTTAAAATCTGCAGATTCATTAAAAAACTATAATTTTCCACAGAGGCAGGAATGACTTTCAGTGTCCTGAGCAAATGTCTTGCATCCAGAATCAGCAGTCTGCATTCTTATATCCACATTCTTCTTTTTGCATCTAGTTCCGAAATGAGTGTATACTTGTTAAGGAATATCTGTTGGCTGTTGTATTCCAGCAGCAACAGCACAGTGAATTGATCTGTTGTGTGTGACATTAACTCTACAGAGTAACAGGTACTTCTAGTTAATGTTACATACGTGTTTTTTTTCTCAAACTCTCATTAATAACTTCTAGTTATGTTTACCTTTCAGGCAGATTATTTTCCCAGGTTTATTTCTTTCTCAGAGGCTGTTACTATAAGTTGGAGCAACTCTCCAAGGGGAACAATGTTTGGAGGAAGACAAACGGCATGCTTCACCTGTCTACAACTTTTACTTTTTTTCTATGTTGGAACAGCTGGTAGTGGAAAGCTGAAAATTGTCATGGAAATAGCCCTCATTGAGAAGTCCTTTTGAGTGCTGCAGTGAAAATTGGTATCGATTTGACCAAGTTGTGACCCTTTGCAAATTGCACGCTCTGCATGCAGAGAGTTTTCTCACTTGCTCGACTTGTAAAGTAGACATCTAAAGAGGGCCTCGTGTTCTGTAGCCGTGGTTATCTCTCTTAGGCTTTGGCTGAACTTGCCAAAGTTTGTTTCCTGCAGTTGGTTACTGCACCCTCATTGCTGCCAGCATCATGTATGGTTGTTTCCCAAGTCAGTGTTGTCAAAATGTGGGATTATTTACTTATTCTCTGAATTCTGGTTTGCTTGTTTGTAAGCCTGGAGTTTCAACAGAACCAGGTAGATGAAACTGTCTATATAGTCACTCGAGCAGATGGTATCCTCTGCCCAGGAGATAGGATTAATGAATGTGGGGAAACAGTGCTTAACAGGGGACTGTTGCAGTTGGAACAGTACATCTAGCTCCATCCTTACCTGTGCCTTGCAAAAGGTAGACTGAAGATGCACGATGAATTAGACAATGGAATTCTCTTGAATGAGGAATAAAAACTGTGACAAAGATTAAATATTTCATTGTCTCATTCCTGGATTATTTTTGTATAAACAATGCTTTAGGAATACAGCGAGCCTCTCTTCTGCAAACCTTTCACTTGTTTTCTATGAAAGTGTAACATTCAGGTTCACAGGACAGGTTCAATAGTGCTTAGTTAAACCTACCAAGATTTTTCTTAATATGCTCAGTGATAAGACGACAGCAGAAACTAGCTTAACCTTATCTATGGTCTTCTGCATTGGTGCTGTGACATAAATAAAAATTCTGGTTTCATTGGGAAGTAGGGATGGAAAAGTGGTTTCCAACTATGTAAATAGCTTTGAGGAAGGCGTAGAAGCATGACTTAAATAGACACTGTGTATTTTGCTTGTTTTTCTTTCTTTTACAGAATAACTGGCATTGTCATTTAAACATTACACTCATATTGGTCTCTTAAGAAATAATACCAGAGGTGGTAGATAAAAACATTGTCATTTTGTATGTATGTGTGCAGTAGGGTGATGTGAAGATACGAAAAGAAGGGAAAATCTGGAGTTTCTCTTTGCCTGGAGGTATTCTAGGTAAGCAGTAGCACTACAGAGGTGGTAGTGAAATTACTTAGTAATGCTGGGTTTTTAAATTTTCATGTGATCACTTGGGAAATAAGGCTATATGGGTAATTCCACAAATACTGCATACTGCTAGCGATCTTGTCACACAGCTACGAGAGGCTTGTTGTGGGACTTGGATTTCTGTGCAATGAGAATTGTCTCATGGCTATGCATTCCTGTATGTTTGTAGCTTGTGGTTATTTGATTAAGAGGAATTTTGACCCACAGGAAGTTTCAGGGAGATTTAAGTATATGTAGATGTTTTCTTCAGTCTCTCTCAGTCTTCAAGCCAGCGCTTGTTTAGTTGTTTTAGAGTTTTCAATCTGGAAATCCGATTGTATAAGAAACTAAATATTTCTTAAAGAGTTATTGATAGGAGCATACCATCACAAATGCAAAGTGTTCCATTTTAAGAAGTTAAAATGACATTTTAAGGCTGTCTTAAGATTCATGGTGCTGTGCTGAGAGGAAGGATGGCTTGAGAAACGTGTAGTTTCTTTTCCATTATTTGCTTTTATGTTTCTCTGCATAGATCCTGATGGAAAAGCTAATGCTTTGTATGCATGGTACAGACCTTCTAGTAATTACAATCTACCAGAAACTTCTTTGTGATGTTCTTTAATGTTTTGTCACACATTGAGTGTTGAGGTGAAACATTCAATAAATCTTGACTTCTTGAACTCTATTGCACTTTCAGTTTAGGTTATCTATTATTTGTATGGTGCACAATGCATGCTGTGTGTTGATTTGCCCTTTGCTAAAGAAAGGTAGCCATCTGCTGCTGCTTCCTCCTCTTCGTTCAGTGGCACATGGATTCAGAGTAAAGGATTTGCCTCAAATGATTGGGAAATCCCTGTTTAGTTAGCATGCACTACAATTAGTAAAATTAAGTGTTAATAAATAAGAGATTGTCCATCATCTTTAGATGTACGGTCTCCTGATACTATATTCAATTTGTAAATGCCAGATTGCTATAGAACAGTTATGTGCATCGTACATACATTTTATATTTAGTACAATCTATCAAATACCCAGTGCTTGTGTGTTCTGAATTCTGTGCTTGAATTTGAAGTCCTTCTCCTATCCCTGTATTCCTTCTCAAACAAATGGTCTTTCTCTTACTGGTTTGACCTAACTACCTATGGTTTTTATGTCATATGTCTACTTTTAAAACCATGTCTGCATTCTTGCATTTTGGGCTTATTTACTATATATCATTACATATCAACTGATTTTTGTCCAATTATCTGTTGTTCGATTGCATTTTTGCATGTAGAATATCTAGATTAATGACCTTTATAACAGGCTTTTCACCACCCATCATTTTAGCCTAAAAACGGCCTCTTTCAGATTTACCATCCTTCCTCTATGAAAACACTCTCATTAGAATTGTTCCTGTTTTCCTTTCCTCTCATGTAAGTTGGTCACGTCTGCTCATGGCTCTAATCAGGCACTCTGCACTAGAATCAGCTAAAATGCACTTGGAGACAGAAGCCTAAGAAAGAGGCATGCGAAATGACCTCGGAACAGAAAACATGTCTTTTGTTGCTGCTTATCCTCTGGACTTCTCATTTAACACGTCCTCCAGCAGGCAGTCGCTCCCCCTGCCTTCGCCTCACACCGCTGCGGCTGGTTTCTTTGTTCCTGCTGTAGTGGATCACACTGACATACCTGTCTTCTGTGAACCCCGGGCCAGCGGCTGCAACACCGTGAACATAAGCAATGCTGCTCTGGTCTCCTCCCATCCTGCACTGCTAAAAACTGCTATATTGGGTGATGGGTGATGCCATATGTGCATAGACCATATGGTATTTTCTCTTTAATCTACTGTTGGCTTGTTCATCATACATTGTAATATTTTGCTATAAGCGCATAAGTTCAGTTTGTCTTTTGGAAGCTGCTTTTATTTGTCAGAGTTAGAGGAGTGTACTGACACGGAATACTTGGCTGTGTAATAAACAGTAGTAAAGGGTACTGTGCAATGCTATAGATTCAACTGAAGATGGCTATTAAAAGGAAAATGTTAAAATGATGTCTAAGTCCTTACTGTTAAGGAGTTGAGCAAGGTAACTTGCGAGTTGTTTTCATTAACATCAATATGAGGAATGAAGCTTGGAAAACTTGCCTCCCAAAGAGTTATGTTTTCATGAGTGCTGACTTTTGCCTTTAAACAGGGAGAAGCGCATTAAATGTGTGCTAATTATGAGTTTTGCAGCAACTTGACCGCTAACTTGAGGTCTGTGTCTGTATCTGCATTTTGCATTCTTGGAATTCATCTTGGAATAATATTTTTAAATATTTTAAACAGCAGATGTGCATTGCTTATAGATTTGTGTAAATGTTGATGCGCTGTATACAAAATATGTCTCCCATACAATGATCTGTTGGCATTATTCTCTGTTGGTTAGCTTCAGACAGTAAAGTCATGACATGTGCTGCTGTTTGGAGGATGCCGAAGGAATTGGAATCAGGCAGTCATGAATCCCCTGATGATTCATCAAGCAACACTCAAACCCTGGAGCTACTCTGTCACCTTGACAACACAGCCCATGGCAATATGGCCTGGTAGGATTCTGCATATTTTATACTCCTAGAAAAAGCCTAAAGGATAGACCTGTGCTGTTAGTTTTGTGCAGATTTATATTGTAGAAGCTATGCTATACACTTTAAAACTATTCCATCTCTTTTTTTTAAAAAAGGTACAAATTGGATTTTTAGTCCCAGATGTTTCATAGATTAAAAACATTTATTATAGTCCTGCAAACACATATGGAGTAACAGCCTGTGTACTGTTTTAATGTGTTTCTCTCCACCTGCCCCCATCTAAAACCTTTGTTGCACAAAGGTATAATACTTAGCATTTCAATCTTTTTATGGAATATAAATTTGATGTTGCACTTTGGTCTTTGTTTTTCAGTCTTCACTCGACTGATTTGCCATAAGTGCAAGTAATTTATTGTTTGTTAAGGATAAGAATTCTTTATATTATATGGTGCCTGTTTAACTACTCCTTACTGTTGCCTAAGAAAAGACAAGGAGAGCTGCAGTACTGCAGAGGGTATTACAGAGGTTTGTTTCCTTTTCCTTTCAGTTATTTAAAAGAAAGTTAAATTTGTCCATTGTATATTTGAAAGTTCTTTGCTTTACAAATGTGTATATGACTTGTTCCCAGTGCTTCCTGAGTAGATGCAGGGCAAAGTAATGTTAATACACTCAGTCCATATTTAACAACTTCAGTGTTGTTTGACATAATTTTGGGACCACTTGACCACTTTCCACTTGCAGAAAAGGTTGAAACCGTAAGAACATGGTCTGCTATAGTCCTAGGAACACCTTGTCTGGCAGCAAGAATACAGAGTAGGAGGTGATGATGCAAGTTGTACAGTCCAAGTGCAAGTACACAATTATCAAAGAATTTTAAGAAAAAAAAATGGAATAACTCAGCAGGTTTTTGTAAATGAAATGTGACAACTCTGAACTGAAACTGAATAAAGATAATGCAACATCAATGTCAGATATTGCTGTAAGTGTCTTACATGAGAGTGGAAAGGGCGTCTTTGGTTTCTGTATTCAGATAGCTGCTCTGTAAGGTATCCATCATACTGTCATTATACTTAAATATATTCTAGTAGGAGTGATTTTAGATTATATCAAAAGAGAACAATACTTAAAATCAGACTCAGTTCCTTTTAAAAATCCAGGCGCATAAAAAATTTCTATTCATTAACTAACTAATAATGCACTAACTAAATAACTAGTAAAAAAAAATGGAATTTAGAACTGATAGTTAATTCAGTTGATTTTTAATTACGTCATACATTGTAATGTATGCTTTAGGCATCTATTTCTAGCCACTGATTTCTAGTTTGAGCCTTGTAGATTATATCTCAACTGAAAAAAAAAGTAACTAGAAGGTAATATTTGTTAGGTGGTTCTCGGACAACACTGGACATATTGGTGTAATCTAATGAGTGTCTAGGCTTCTTTTTTTCAAAAATCTCAGCTTCCTGAATGTTAAACTTCTTCATGGCAGTACCTTTTAATTCTTTGCTACTCATTTTCATATGAATATTTCTCTTTATAACACTTTGATTATATTAAACAATTCCTGTTTTATTGTTAAAACCTTTTGATAATTAGATTCCATATAGTTGGGAGTATTATTTTTTCGTTTGTTTTAATCTTCACGTTTTACTCCTTAAGATTTGTACTTTTTGTCTTCCATAATCTGTTTCTCTCTGATGCTGGGATGCCAGGACTCTGTGTGGTAGCCTGATCACCATACAAGGAATAAGGGAGCGTATCAGGATATGAATGCCAAAAATCAGGTTTTTCCTCTAATATAGCTTGTAGCAAGTTCATGTGCAATTTTCTGTCTCTTGTTGTCTGACTTTGTTCAGTACTAGTGCTTAAAAATATCTGCTACCACTTAATACTTACTATCTATATGTGTAAATATATGCATAAAGACTTGAAAATGTCCTGTGTTACGGAAAGATAAAAGGTATAAGCGGAATACTTGGCATAGTACCTCTCACATCATCTCAGGCAAGCACAGCTGAGTTAAAGGATCTTGTTCTAGAGCAGGCTTTTCTATTCTGGCCTCAATCATAGCAGAAACAGCTCACATAAATCAGTGAAATAAATGTTTTGTGCCAAATCTGTATCACTTAATAGACCATGTCCCCCTGAGTGGTGCTGACTACAAATAGCAACTCAAATATTTTTTTACATTATGCATTTCAGATGTTTGAAAAATGCGAATCTTATTTTAGATGCTTATGGTGCAATTATTGTTAGAACCAACTGTAAATCAAACAAGCAATGTGTAAATACTTTTCAAACTTCAATGTAAGACCAACATTCTAGTCTACGCAATCACTTTGAGATCAGCAGTGCTCTGGCATCATATACTTGCAGCACTTATTCTGGCTCTGTCCTTTGCTTTGCAATTAGAGCATACTCTCTTACTTCTTACAAAACACAGGCTGGAGACTGAACCCAGGGGTTCAATATGATCACATATGCTTTAAGGAGGCTGTATAATCCACAGAGCGCAGTAGAGCAATGTACCACAACCGCTACCCTCGGTAAGGGTAGAAAAGATTTTAAGTCAGTGATAGTTTTTGAAATCCTACACCTCAGATTTAATAAAGACTTATTTTTTTTAAAGTTAATTTTTAATGTGATTAGTCAGAATGCATGCCAATCCCCCCCTTCCCCCCCAAAAAAAAAACAAAACAACAACAACACAACCAAACAACCCAAACCCCATAAACTGGGCTTCCAGCACATCTTCGTAGGCTGGGCAGGGAAGAATGCTGGAGTTGACAGTACAGTTGAGAGATGCAGGGTGTAACGTTGATGTGAACCTTTGTGGTTCCAGACAGTGGTACATGGGAAGGTATTTTGTGTGTCTTGGCATCCAGAGCATAGATGCTTCACAATATTCATGGATCTGGGTTGCAGGTTATAAGTAATTGATATTTGACTGTAATTAAAGGTCAAAAAGCAAACCTATCTTGAAAATGCAACTGGCTATATACTCAGGCATCCACTGCCTGTCTCAGAGCTTTATTTGCTTGTACTTTTGTTCGTGTTTTCCCTGCTCTGCTTTATTTCTTAACTTTTTTTCTTTAGGATTTATCTTTTTGCATTCTTTTTCTTTTCCATTATAAAGTCTGATAGTTGGAAAAACTACCTCACAGATTTTTCTATTTCTAGTATCATGTATTAGGGAATACAAGGGGTGATTTTTTTTTCCCTAATGTTCTGTCTGAGGTTTTGGTTTTCCTCAATTGTTTACTGGCATTAATAGCCATCTGTGATATTACAAAAATGAAGTATAGAGAAAGTTTTTCCAAAAAACTTACTATTTTCCAAAAAACTTACTATATGACAAGTGTTTTCAGTGGGAGTGTAACTTGCAGCTGCTTAGCAGTACTCTCATTCTCCCCTTTATATTCTGATCCTTTATAAAATGGCAAACATTTTAACTGTATCTTATGTTCTACTTCTCTCTCCCTTCTTAATTCTGTGTGTTATCCTGAATTCTTTACAGGATTTCGCTGTCTTGAATCTTAGATTTTCCTTCATAGTAAATAAATCATCCTGTATTGTAAATAAATCGTGTATTATATCTAAATCCAAGTCTTCAACCATTTGTTATCTCTTTCTTACATTTTCTCTCTCGTTTCCCCCTTTTTTTCATCCTGTGAAACGTGTCTGGAACCAGTAGAGTAATTTATAACACTCATGTCTCTTTTTCATTCCTTTGAATGTTTTTGGTAATTTTCAGTGGTTAGTATTGTGCAAGTTTAAAACTTTAGGCTATTCAATGTAATTGCATATACTAGGGAACAATTTTGATTCATTAATTGAATAGTGAAATAATAAAACATTGTTATGTGCCAAGTTTATGGTGTTAATTTTTGATCAGAATTTGACTCTAGTCTTGTATAGCCAAGGGAAACTTAATGAAAGTAAAATCTGACATTGAAGCAAATAATAAGGGAAAAATATGCTGTATATCATGTATGTGAACTTGCTGTATGTATTCAGTTAACTTATGACCACTTCTGATAATTTCAATAGATTTCATATGCTTCAAATGAAAATTAGTTTTGTTGAAGTCTGCAGTTTGTGTTTACCTTGGATTTGTAAATCACAATACAGAAAGTACAGAAAATGTTACCCTACAAGTAAAAAGCAAAAGGTTTGTAGGGTACTATTTAACTTCTACTTCCCAATTTGAAAGTAGTTTTTTGCTTTAGCTCTCACTGTGCTGTCATATTTCCTAGTTTTACTGCCAAATTAGTTCTGATTTCTGCATACTGAAAGAAAATCGAGTTATTTTTATTTATTTTTCCTATTTATAATGCCTCTTTAGCTATTCTTAGCACTAAAGAAAAGGAGGGTTACAGTCTGCCTCAACTTATTTTGCAGGTTAAATAGATACCAACTGTTTTTATTTTCAGTTTTTATTGAATTGCTTAAAAAGTTGTGGGACATGTTAAAAAAAAAAAAAATGATGTTGCAGAACTGGAAAAAATTAGTTATGCAGGAAAATTTTAAATGTTCATGAGCTTTCAACAGGTGTCCCCGTTTTCTTGGTCTCAGACTCCAGTTTGCTCTCCAAAACCCTATTAAGCATTTACTATTTAGATTATTTGCTCCTCGGAGTAGAATTAATTCCTAGCGTAATATTCTGGAATGATTATAGATGAAGTGATATTGCTGACACTTTCTTACACAGTAGTTAAAAATTCAGGGCTTTGAAATGTCTTTTCGGTGTCTGTTGGATGAAGGAATGGATCTTTGTACATTTGTAATTAAGTACATCTATTTGGTAAAATGTATGTGAGGGCTGAAGGGGTGCCCTGCAGCCTCAGACACTCCATCCAGCCCAGTGTTCAGTCTCAGGCAGTGGTGGTGGAGAGGTTATTTATTGAGACTAGCTAGAATCCCAGTCACTTCTTGCAGTCCATTCACCTCAAATTGCCCCAGTATCCAGAGTTACTGGATTAGGGGTGTTGGAGGGTACATCTCTGCCAGGTCTGTGTAAA